TTTGAACTGGGCCTTGAATGATGGGTAAAAATATTAGAAGAGATAGGAGTGAAGATCAGTTCAAACAAATAAAATACATGAATCAAGAAACTCAAATGGCAAAACAGAGAGCTTTCCTGAGAAATGCTAGCTGTACAGTTTACCCGAGGGAAAGGTGGGTGATGATGAGAAACGAGCAAAGAGCAAAAAATCTGAAAAATAAAGGATTACAGGAGACACTTATAGGGTTGTGAAAATCATTCTAAAGAAGAAGGTGGGGCTACAGTAGAAGAGATTGTTTTGTGATATTTCTCCTTAACATGAAAATGATAATGTTCAATGGATTATTTAGAAAGCACACTAAATATTCAAAATGAAGGACATAGATCTATAATCCAAGGGCTGCGGTGATGTTGTGGGTTTTTGAGCAACAGTAAGGAGTAATTCCATAAAATAACAATGTAAACAAAATGTAAGCTTACACTCCAAACAGTGTAAATTTGATGTTAATAAACAAAATTCAACCAAGTAAATCTGAAGATCTAATTAGCTTTATTAAGTGATTCGTGAATCGGGCAGCATCTCATCTAGCAAGTAGAAGGGCGATCTGAGGGGTTGTACAAAATAGAAGGTTTTTATAGGCAGGAGGGTGGGGCAGGGGAGCTACTGGCAAAAGAACAGAAAGAATTGTTTTTAGATTCGGCCATCTCCTCTTGGGGAAAGGGAAAGCCAAGGTTTTTATCATGCGTATTGCCTCTTCTTCCTCTGAGGGATGGAGAGGGCCCATGTGACAGATTAACTCATTGGTGCTGATCAGAAAATTTCAGACTGGCCTATTAAAATTACGTTTCTGGGAGGGGTTGGAACTGCAATTAGATCAAGTGTTAAGTCTATGTTTGGTATCATGGGCTTTAGCACACGTGATGCCATTTTGGGTGTGTGGTTTTCTTTTTAACAGAGGCGTTTGCCAGGTTGGAGATGAAGTAGACTTGAACTTCAAAACTGCCATTGGGAATGGAAAAGAAGAAGTGAAAAATGGGAGAGGGTGATTGTTTTGGTTAGAGATTAATTATATTTGATAGTAAATTATTAATTTTAAGTAAACTACAAGTAAAGGAAATGTTCATCAAAAATATGCCAGATCTAGTAACAGGTGATTCACATATTACCTTGTTAAATTATCACAACAGCTCTATGAGGAATACTTATAATTTCCGATGTTTATAGAAAATCATTTTAGATTTAGACAGATTAAACAACATGCTAAAGTCAACAGTTAGTAAATAATGGTCAAGTTTCAAATCCAAGCTGTCTGACTCCACAGTCCCTTCTAAAATAACACTATATTGTCCATGAAAAGCAGGTAAATGATTTGTGAGATTACTAGATGATGAATAAAAGCATGGTAATTGTAATGATGATAGAACTTGATGTAAAGTTTACTGAAGTTCAAAAATAATACCTCTAACATAAACAATATGAATTTTTATAATAATCATGAGACAAAAATTTAAATTATTTTTAATAAAATGTTAATAATGGTTAAAACTATTCAGTACTTCTGCATACGTTAGGAATTATTTTAAGCTCTTTACATCCTCAGGAAATCCTTTCAATAAACAAATAACATAAATTTTTTTATTATTCCTTTTATAGATGACAAAATTAAGCAGCAAAGAGATTAGTTAAGTGGTTCAAGCTTATACAGTAAGAAGTTGGCTGAGCCAAGATTGGAGCCTGGGCCATGGGTGCATTAGATTCTGTTACTTTCTGGTGTTTTGGCAATGGTATCTTAACAGCAAATCCAGAAATTATTTTCTCCCTTTTAGATGTTGAAGGGACCAAGAATGTAGTGAATCAAGAACGTATAGTGATAGTAGGAATAAATCACTTTCTAATGCTCCTGCAGAAGGGAAAGCAGATTATTTCATCATCTCATAAATTATTAGTGGACTTGGTGCATGAACATGAGGCTCAGGCTGATTATATAAGAATATATGTTATACAGCATTATGTATTTTATAACTACATATAGATAATATGGAAAAACTTGAAAATTTATTTTTTAATACAAAACGGGAGAAATTAAAGGAGAGACAAATGGACATAGTGGAGTGAGATTCACAACTCAATACTATAACAGTCCTACATTTACACAGGGGAATTCTATTTCACCTAGTTTAAATGAAATTTAATTATTTATATGCCCCAAATTATATATTATATAGAAAATATAAGAAGAAAACATCGAGCTTAAGATTCAAAACTTTCCAAAATTAAATAGGCGTATAGCATAAATAATAGCACACACAACTTTGTATGTCCAGTTCTTTATTTCTAACCATCTTATGAAAACATTTTTTAAGAGTAATGTTGAACTGGGAGTTACGTTTATGGTAGAATTTGTTTCTATTGCCCTGAGCTAGTCTAACAGTTGCATTAGATGTTTCCATAGCAACTTCATGGGGAACACTTCAGAACATTTCCTTCTGGCAGGAGTTTGAGAATATATATGGACAGTCACTGTGTGAGATGTAGTCAAGAATATTCCCCTGGACAAAATAATGTTTTAAAGCCAAGTATCGCTTGATATGTTTTAGTAGTCTTGGCTTGCTGAATTATAGAGTTCTTTTCTCCACTCTACTTTTGCCACCACTGCTTGAGTGTTTTTTAGGCCTCATCATGTCTGTCATTTTCCCACCTTCAAGATCTCAAAATCTGAGGTTCCATTTTCTGATGATAAATTTGTCTTTAACGTTTTTCACGTTTCTTAACTCCTATTGAACTCAATCATTAATTTATCATCAACTGTGATTCTTTGATCCTGTACTATTTTTGCATCCCAACATTGCTGTTCACGCTTTACTTGTCTCTACCCAAGGGGAAAAATAATGGTCAGCCGTTTGAGGGGCATCATTTTTTGCTACTTTAGAACACCACATCCTTATGACTTGCTGCCATTTCTCTCTAGCAAATCGTCAGTTTTGAGTCTCTCTCATTGTTCATTCTGACTGTGTCTGTTCCTAGATATGTATAATGTTGCAAAACCACACTAATTAGAGCCAGCGAACCGGTGACCGTGTAATTAATGTCTTAATCAGAGACACTTTTCACTTTTGAGAGTGAAAGAGGATATTATAAAACTAGTGTAAACCAGCTCTGTCTCAGAGAAACTGAGAAACTGTCATCCCAACAAAAGTAGGCCTATTTTCTCATCAGAATAAGTCTTCAGTGATGCTTGAAATTCTCATATTTATTTTTTTATTTTTAGTTGGCTCCCTATTAGGCATTTTTGGTGTCAGCTTTAAGTTTGAGCCTCAAGAAATGAATTCCTTCATCCTATCCTAAGTTTAATTCAACCAGAATCCATTGTTTTCTCCTTCCGTGAAAAGACTGAGAGCTCTCCACCTCAAAATGTCTTGGTAGCTATTTTCCTTGTCTAACTTAAAAAAGATCCTTCAATTCTTACTCAAAATTCTACTTCATTGGCTTTCTTTTCTTTTGCAGGGGGAAAGGGCTAGAGGCTGGGGCCATCATAATCTCTTGGCTTTCTTCTTAGACTGATCATAGCCTCCTGGAATGTATAAAATATCTCTTTCCAACCCACAGACCTAGTCATTGTCTAAGAGATTCTGCTTGGTTTTATACACATCTTTCCACATGGGACTTGTTCATCCACCATAATAGATTCAAGCATGCCTTAAGCAATTGTCACTCCCCAACCCACTTTCTACAGATGGATAAATATCTGAATTTTTCAATGGTACCTCAAAGTTAGAAAGTTCAAAGCTGAATTTATATTTGGCATTTAGCCTACAAATTCACTATTCCGAGTTAAAAAATCACTACATTTCCTTATTTAGTCATAGTTGTGAAACCTTGGATTAATCGTAAATGCCCCACTTTTAGCATCTCTGGATAAAATTAGTTCTTGTAGGATGTTCTTCCACCATACTGCTCACATTTATTAGCTAGTTGTGCATTATTACTTATACTCTGTCAGTTAGCCTTATATAGTACTTCTACCAGATTAATCTTAAAGCTTAAATCTGATCATTACAAGCCATTGAGCTATTTAAGAACTTTGTATGTTTCTTCTATTTTAGGCTGACGTAAGTAAACACTCCTTAACTTTGCATTCATGTCTTTCCTTTCTCTGGCCTCAAAGCATACTCCCAGTAGTTTTCACTTACAATATTCCACAGATTAGCCAAATTGGACGGCATGCTATTTCCTAAATGTCACCAGAATGTTCATTTTGTTCCTTTGTCTATGACATCTCATGTTGAAACTCCACATTCTTAAGGCTTTTATCATAGTCAGTCTCTTCCATGAGAAATGGTTGACTCTCTTACCAGATTTGAAATCTCTTTTCTTTAATTCCCATTAGCACTCTGTTCTTATTTCTTATTTCTTATTTATTTCTTATTTATTTTATTCTGTCTCATAAACGTTATTTGTGTACTTGTTTTAGCCTCCTAACTGAATGTTGTTTTCTAAAGGAGAGGACATATGCTTTACTCACGATTTGAATACTGGAACACTATGCTGATATATACTAGACAATAATTAATTACTTGTTGAAATTATTATACAAAGATGACTATTTGAATATTGTAGAAATATGTGTATAACTGTAATGTAAAAATGTTGTTAGATCTCTCTGCAAACAAAGTTGTTTCCAGTAGTCAGGTAGCAAGTATCATTATACCAAATAAATAGTTAGACTGGCTGATGCATGAAGAAGGTACAGGATTTATTCATAGATAGATCCTAGTCTCTGATAGAGCTGGAAGAAGATATCAAGTCTTTATACTCCTCTTTTCCTGTTCATTTTAAACAGAGCCCTCTATATGCATGCAAAGTGCTGCCATCATTCATTAAGTAGATTCAATCTCTCATTTTCCTTGAATCATCACTGATTTGAGCTTACTGTTTTCACAATTTGGGCCTAAGAAAATTATGGCCAGTTATTCATTCTCTAATTAACCTAAAAGTGAACTATATTTCATTGCTTGTAGGATGGTATGGGAAATCTGAGAGTCACCAAGAAGGGAATCCGACTTGAAGGTATATCTGAGTTTCTCCTTCCATTGTATGTGAAAGAAATTCATTCCCGAAAGGTATGTGATACTGGCTTTGGCTTACTGTAAAAGATAATTTAGAGGTTATGTTTTAGCTTGAAATAGAAGAACAGAACCCCTTTTCTCTTCAGTACGTATTTAGTTTCCTTAAGCTAAAGAGTTATTTAAAGAAATCGAAACAATGGAACAATTGAAAAACCAGTGGAGAAGGTTAGTTTCAAATTGACTGCTTAGAGAACCATTTTGAATTAAACTGCAGTGTTGCTTTTGTTAGTTTATAAAATTTGCCCCTTTAGTTTCAATGGAAGTTAAAAATCCACAGTTATAGTAATTCCAAAAGGGGCATTTGATACATCTCAAGTAATTTTTGCAAGAAGCATTGACTTGAATAAACGATTTTAATTCAGTATATTATAAACCTTTTCAGCTTTAATGGACGTGCATTTTCTAAAAGAGATGACAAAAAGTTTTAGTATAGAAATTAAATTTATTTCTGGATCTATATTATTTAAACAAGTAAGAATATTTATCCTTTCAAATGTATGTCTGTATGTGTGTGTGTGCTATGTGTGTTTTATCACTTAGCAACAACACACTAAAAATCAAAAGATTAGTTTAGACATTGCTCATTTTGGCTTAAGTGTGCTACTTCTTAAACGGTAGTAAGTATTCTTGGGTATGTCAAAATCTAATTAGAATCTTTCAAATCTGTTAGGGATTCCCCTGGGATATGTGTGTATGTGTGGAAATAACTACATTAGGACAGAATTGGGAAGCTTATTATATAAAATGTAGAAAGATTATTAACCTTATTTCGTAAATATGAAAGTCTATTTTAGACTAGAATAATGTTTTAATATTACCAATATAATAGATTAGCAAATGAGTTGCATGGTAAACCATAATTCGATAATTTGCTTCAAAGCTATTTTTTCTCTTAAATATCAAAGTGAAAACAGAACAGAGGATTCTTTTTAATAAAAATTCTAGTTAGGATAATTATATTGACTTTAAACTTTATTTTTTTCTATGTGAACCTGCAAAGCTTTGCTAATATACAATATTGACTGCTACTCTGGGTATGAGAAATTTTATATCGAGATTACTTTACTTTCTGGATTTTAATCAGATGAATAACACAATAGACATATGTACGAATACCTGACCTTACATGATTAAACTATAAAAACTGATGAAACTTAAAATAAAAAGTTTGTTTGGTGTTTTTGATGTTATCTTTATGAAAACTGAAAGTTAGTGACTTCCCTCTGAATGGAAGTCACCAGCACTCAATTGTTTACTGTTTCCTTCTTGTGTTTGGCACTATTAAACAGTTTAATATTTGAAGAAATGAAAACTTATACATGGAAATCAAGAAATCACTTAACATAGGAAGATGAGAGTAATCATAGGCAGAAATTTCTTTGAAAATGCATCCTATTGATAAGTCCAGGTACAGCAGATAAAAATTTATCTTCAAAGCCATTATAGACGGAGTGGCTGCCTGGGAATACAATTTAGAGAAGGATTATGAAGCTCTCTGCCAGCAGGTGGGTTATAGAATTTACCTTCATTTTTAAGAGTTTAACAATAGGTGTAAACTAGAATTCTCCAGGGAAGCCGCGACGTGTGTTCACTCCATCTACGGACCAAATGAGAAAGAGTCCACTGATTTTATAGCATTGAGGTGTGAGGTGGTGGCAGTTGGGCTTCCTAATCTTTATCCCTGGGAAAGTTTGCACTCTCAAGTTCACAAGCATTTCCCAAACCCACTGTGTTGGTTGAAATCTGTATGCTCCTTCTCACATCCCAGGCCTGTTGTTTGTCCTTCCCACGTCTCCTCTCATTATCCTTTGCCTCTCAGTAACCACAAAGGGTGGCAGAGCACAGGCAGGTGGGCGCAAGTTCCAGCAGCAGTCGGACAGGAGGTCTGGTTTGAGAACACGAAAAGAAGGGGACTCATTTATTCTTTGAAAATTTCTCTACATATACACTACAAAAATAATATTTAAAATAAAGAGAAAAATATATCTTTTATAAGCAGTTCCCACATGAGGATTCTCATGTCCATGAATGCACACAGCTGTTCATTCTCTACCATAAAGCCTATTCATAGTTTTAAAAAGCCAGACACAATTTCCCTGAGTCCTAGTTTACTCATTAGTAAAGTCAGTTTGGTAGAAACTTGTCAAAATACTTAGTTCTTATGTTAAGAAAGAATAAAAAAATTTGATAATACTAGTAGAAATGAGATTTTAAATAAAAAACAATCTGTTATACGTTTCAATCTTTCCATATATTTTCAGATATTCAAATATTTTTAGGATAAAGTGTCAAAATTTCTGTAGATCTAAGGTGAGGAAATCTATTAAATTTGAAAGGTACTTACAAAGATTCGATTAAGCTGAGAAAAATACTACTATGTACGACACTTTTGATTTGTGCAGATTTTTTTCCTGCAATTTTGATTTTATGTGTGTGCATGTATGTGCATGTCTTTGTCTTTTCCTGCAGCAATGCCAGTGGGTTGCCTTCTTTATATTTAGCAGTATTCTACTCTGAAATGAAGAAGTTTCTCATTGAAAGTTACTTTCTGTTTAGGTAGGTACGTAATCCTACACATGGAAAAGTATAGGAAATAGAAAGATTTCTGTTGGTCAGAAAATGAGTTGCCCACAGACACACACATCGCATCTCCTAACCTAAGAAACCATGAGCTGTTTCTACTCTACAAGCTAACTGACACCCTGCCCCTACCATCAAATTTCTAAAATTATTTGAAGTTCTATTATTGTTCATTGCATGCTTTTATAATAATCAACCTTTTCTAAGTGGTCCCTCATATCAGTGTTGTACATAAAAACATATTATATTCTATGTCTGAAATATCTTAGAATTCAATGCATCTTTCAAAATTACCATTATTCTAAGGGAGCACATACTCACTGAACATTTGTGAAATTAAATATATAATTTTCTTCAGATACGAAAAATATGAAAGATATGGAATTTGGGGTTACGTTACGTAGATGATACTAATGATAACATTCTGAATCAATTTTCAATGCACATGGTCTAACATTAGGTTAAAATCTTTGAAATATCAGGAAATTAGGACATGTAATCACCAGGCTTTTTTTTTTAATGTAGTTAGAATATGTTTCCCAAGGTGTCATGAGTTCAAAAGGGAGGACTGAGGGGGTTAAATTACCCCCCTTTCACTGATTCTTACAAGAAAAGTGTGCATCATGCAGTTCTCTAGAACTTCAAGCATAACCCAGCTTCATCTGATATTAGCCAAACAAGTTCTCTTATTTATTTTTCCCTGTTCAAGCATGCTTAGTTAAGATGGTACCTCACCACTGCTCCTGATCCCAGCATCCCACAAGACAGACTGATAGTTGTGCCAGGGGAACTGCTTCCAGATAATTCCAATTCCAGTAACTCCACAGCAAAGCAAAGAAGTTCGTGTTCTTTAGGATTCCTGTGTTAGCAGAGCTGTGAGTAAGGCTCTGCTCTCCTCTTCATGCCAGGTCATTTCACTTGACTTCAGAGCTCTGATGCTCACTCAGTTCTTGGTTACAACGAGTTTTTGACCTGTGTTCAATTCTTCTTTATAGAGTTCAGACACAAAGCCATGGGGCCAAACCAGCTCAGCAAACCTCTTTCCTGGTTACACAACATGCTAATCTCCCGACCCTCTCTCTTTCAGGTATCTTGGCACATCTCTGGAGGTTTCTTTCTCCCATACAAACCCATTCATGCAAATAGATATCTGCAGGTTTCTATAATCATTATCATCATTATCATATTACATTTAGATGTTTAATACAGATGAAATTTATTATTTTACCGTATTTAATATAGTCTTTATTCAAGTTTAAAAAACACAAATCATTTCAAACTCTTTACACACACAAAAAAATTGTTAACATATAGTGAACATCATCACAGTTATCTAAGTATACTTAGGCACAAATAAAAGGATAAGTATGTAGAAAGGCATACATGCTATTCATAATTAATATCTTATATGTAATTTACTAGAAGAAAAAATCTGAAATAAATTGGAAAGAACTGCGGAACTTAAATATTTCTTCACCACAAGAATTTTTTTTTTAAAAAGCTTATCTTTCATGGTTAAGAACAAAAGATTGTGAATACCATTAAAAAGCTGGATGCATTAGCTCCATGTTTTAATTTCAGACAGTGTTCATTAACTCCCTGTCGTGCAATTTGACGTGATTAGCTCCTCTCCAATTAGTCCTCATCCTTCTTCATTTTCAGGGTTTTTTTTGATAATTATATTATTTTAACTTTGTCAGAGTTCATAATATTTACGTTCTCTTCTGCAACTTTAATTGCCCTGGCACTTTGGTCTTAATTCTACTTATAAATGGCAGGGGGACTCACCACCAGTCCTCCTTTTATTATGGGTTCTCCATGACTTAGTTCAGAATTCAAATTCCTTCCTTACTTGTATTTCATTGTTAATTAGTTTTGTTTGTTTGTGAATCCTTGAAATATTTCATGCTAAAAGTGTCTGACTATTGTCTGTATTCTTTTCTGGGAATATAATTAATGTTTCATCCCTTTTTTCCTCATTGCTGTCTTAGATTCTAGCACTGAATATTGCCAGAAAAAGTCTGAGGGAAGCCTGGTATTTTTCTCCTGTTGATGACATGAATGTTCTGCCTGGATGCCTGATACATTGTTGCCATTTCACTTCTTTCATTTTAGGGAACTTTTCTCTATTATATCACTCAATATCTTTCAGTTTTACTTGCTGAGGTCTTTACTTCAGAGAACGCAATAATTCTTATGTTGGATCATCTTTGTGCTTCACAGCTATCGTAATTTCTCCGATTATTTTAAATTCTATATTTTTCTTCTAAATGCAAGTAAGTCTCATTTTCTGGAGTCTTTCTTCCATGCCATTAGTTTCTTTTTCTCCATATGAATTTTACCTTTGCTCTCTCTAATTCATTTATTTTATGTATAAGGGTGTTGTTTTGATCTCAGAATTTTCCTTAGGTCCA